ACTTGAGCACTCTGTGTAAGCAGTAAATTACTCAAATGGACTGCGAGCACAGGCTAGCAACTTGATAAAGAGATAATGTCCTGACAGGAGAAATTGCTGATTCCTGAAGAAATAGGGGACAGGACGTACTTGCAGCTCCCGAATCCTGGAGCAGGCTGCCACGTGACTTGCTGCTGTTGGAGGATATGGTGTTGCCCAGCTACCTGCTGTTGACTGGAGCCTTCCGAGCGCATCTCCCTGGCAGAAAGCAGCTACCGTGGTGCTTACACCTAGTGACAGTGGTGTCCAGGCACAGCTCCTTCGCTGGCACTAGGGAAGTGCATACGGAGGACGATGGGTCACGAGTCACACAACCTGCTTGCCCTTGATGAGAGCACAGATGCTCTTTAGGACTGCCTTGAGAGGAGAGACTTTCCAAAGGACAGCTCCGTAGCCAGAGCTGTAACCTTTTCCTTAGAGCACTTTGACTTCTTTAAAGTTACTCAACAGCAGTTGAGTAAAAAAACTCAAGAGGTTTTGGTAGCGCATAAACTTGGAAGAAGGCATTGTAGAACTCTGGAGGCTGCTCTGTGACTGCTTGGCAGCATAGTTGAGCCCTTTACCCCAAAATGTGAAACAGGAGTTTGGATTTGGGTATGATTATATTAGTTCAGATGTTTTTGATCAGACCTCCTGGCTATTGTGTAAAGCTAGTCTAGTGATTCATATTAACTAAGATAGCTTAGCTTTGCCTCTCTTTTTCTCTCTCTCTAAGTAAGCAAGATTGTTTGGAATCAGCTATTTATGTCATTGTTTCCTGAGACATTGCCACTTACACAATGAAGCTATATTATTATTATATACTTTATAGGGATATGAGTCCAAATAAAGACTGTTGTGAGAATGTGGTTATTCTTTTTTTGAGGGGGTGGGGTGGGGAGGGGGGAGTATCCTACCAGCACATACACCCGTCTTGCCTGGCATTTTTACCTAGCCTTAGGGAAAAAGTCTCCCTTTGGGTAGTTATGCTATAAATGGGTATTTTTAATTTACTGCAATCTTTTTTTTTTTTTTTTTTTTTTTGCCACATTTGTTACTGCTGAAAAAGATATTGAAATGAAATGGTCCCTGTGATGTAGCATAGCAGATCCTGAGTATTCTTTGCCCTTTGAAATACACTGCTTACCTCCTATTTTCCCCAGTGCCTCTAAATAACAGCTGGTGTTTTGGCGTGTGACCTTTGGGTACCTTGGAACACTGTCTACATTGAGATTGCCTAAAAATGATGCGTTTTCAAGCTTCCTGTTCAATCTGTACTTCAATGGCTTTTATCCCATATTTTTTGCAGCTGGGGATATCTCTTGACACAGCATAACTTGACTGTGAATGTGGCTGCAAAATGTGTTTTTGTCCTCTGCAGGTACACATCAGCTCGAGCCTTCCTAGCCACTTTAAATGAAATGAATGACTATGCCGGGCAGCATGAAGTCATTTCGGAGAACATGACCTCTCTTATCACTGGAGAGTTAACACGCTGTGTCCAGGAGCTGAAACAAGAGAGGAAATCGGTAATTGATTGTTTATTATTAATAATTCCGATCTAATGCAGATAATTAGTGGTGAGGGAGTTTGTTGCACAGATTTAGTACGCAGTTAATATCCAATGGGTAAATGACAGCAAATTAATATCAGATGAGTGAGACCCAATATAAAACCAGCTTCAAATAACATAGGGACTGATGGATAGTAGCCAGCGAGAAGGGAACAGAAGAAGGAAAAAGAAAGGTAAATCTACCTGCTGTTCCTTATAACTTACCTTGAACACAAGACAGCTGTCAGTCACAATGGCTGGTTTTGTGGTTGTAACATGAATATAAACTGCATATGCTATGAATCTTTGTCTCATTCCCCCAGATTTCTCATCTGTGAGCAATTGTTGATAGGAAAAGTACTCTTGTCTTCAGGCATTTTTCTTACATAATCTTTCTCACTTCATGCTATAAAACACAAAGAATACATCAACCATGCTGCATCTGCAGGAGGGTTGCTCAGTAGATACCATAGAGGTTTGATGGTCTGGTAAAACCCTGATGTTACAAATTGATGTATTGGGATTTCCAGAAATTTGGTAGTTAGAGCGCTCCTGCCCACGGCTTGGTGTGTAAATGGTCATTATGCCAGAAGCTATTATCAGCTGTAAGAACAAAATCACACTTGGGTGATGCAGAAAGAGGTCGGTCAAATCTTCCTCTTTAGAAGTTGGAAGAAAGTGAACTTTGAGGGGCTACGAGGATGATGCACTTAATACAGGTCATGGGAGATGAAGGTAATCTTTAAATATGTGGACTTTGCATTACTGCATTCCCATGCTCATTGAGCTTTATTGATTGAAGTGGGATTGCAGCAGCAGTTGACAGGAGTCAGGAATTGCACTTTGTTTCCTCCTTTGGCAAGTATAAGCCCTAAGCCTGCAACTAGGCAGCACAGAACATGCTAGTTGTTTAGTTCCCTGATGGATAAAATTCATCTCTTATCCAGTTTTCAGCTATGTTTGGCATGTTTGATTATTGTGAAATGTGTGACTCTCCAATGTCTTCTGTCTATGATAGCTGCTAATAGTGATAATATGTGAGGAAGCAGCTAATCTAAGTCTGTTGGGACAGCCTGGAGGTTGGACAAGCAGCCCAGTTGGCAAATCACACTATTTTGGCACTGGTAATGAAAAGTCAGATATCTTTTATACCTTTTTTTTTTTTTTTTTGGCAGAATTGGTTTGACACTTAGAGTTCTGGGTTGCCCTTGTGCTATTGCAGATCACATGCTTTGTTGCATGATCTTTGGATCGTCAGAGGCTCTAAGAAAAAAAAAATCAGTCAAAGACTATATTCTTGTGAAACTTAAATATCTTTAGTAGTAAAGGTCAGCGAGCGCTCCTAGTTTTGCCACGTTACGCATCCTTCTTCCATAGGCTAGTCCAGCTGAATATTTACCCTGCTGCAGATGCCGTTCCTCCTTGCAGGCGCTGTGGAGTCATGCCTACGTCCTGCTCGCTTTCACGTGCAGCGTGAGCGGGGAGGAGGGAGAGCTCCTCGCACTGTTTCACTTCTTCCCAGATGTCCAGTGAAGTGAAACCCATCGTAGTGCAGGTTCCTCCCTTTCACTTCTTCTTGCACTCTCCTGATCTTAGCGTGTTTGTGCCCTCACGTGAGTACTTCTCGTCTACAGCAAGGATCCCCACGGCTGCCACAGGGACGACCTTTTGGTATCGTGCTGGATGTGAAGGTCATGTCTCATCTACCTTCCTCCTGAGGCCAGATGTGCGTGACAGAATTCCAGCCTGCTGTGGCAAGACCTCTATCACCAAACACCAGGAGCTTGTCATGAAAGGCTGTTCTGGGATGGAGGAAAAGGAAGAGTTTAGTATCAAAGTTTTCCTAACCCTGTGGGGTGGGAACCCGATAGGAAGCTGAAAGGAACCTGATTCACATTTTGATGCATGTGTACAAGAGTATTCGTTTGTTAGCACTGTATGAAAACATCCAAAGCATGGATAATTCTAAAGAATTATCAGGTATTTCTTGTACAACTGATGCCTCAACAGGTAATCTCCTAGTTTTCTTATCACTGCAAGGCTTGTGCAGAATCATCACAGATACAGTCTTTATGGAGGCTGGAGATGTTCAGATGTGGTGGCATATCTTGGTTTTGGACCAATGGGAAATAAATTTGTGGGCAATATCTGGAAGCCAGTGTTTACTAGTAAGTGGAAGAGCTAGAGGCCAGTACTGTGATCCTTTATTCCTCCTCTTGCTGAAGGATTTAAAACCCAAAACATCATCTCTTCTTCCTACCCTAGTTTTTAGTATTAACATCAGATCACCCTTTGAGAAGCCCATGGGTTTGATCTCTTACAGTACTTAAGCACAGCTGAGCGCGCAGCTTTTAAGGACATGATTAGTCCCATAGAAAGGATTCCAGGATGGGGAGGGCACTTTCCAAATAAACTGGCATCCCTGTACGTGAGCTCACAGGCTCCCTGGCAGCGCCTTCAGGGCAGATGGTTCAGGCGGCCGGAGAAGCCCTGGAGGAGCAGCCGGCGGTGCCAGCAGCCCCCAGCTCTGCCCCTGCTGGGAGCAAGAGCAGCGAGCGGAGTGGCTCCATTCTTTGGGAGAAATTACTCGGTTCCAAGTTCAGGTTTGCAGGAAAATTGCTTTATAAGGACTTAAGCTGTCATATGTAGCATGAAACAGCAAGTTATTATAAATATTACTGCTGCAAAGTGTCTTGTAGCTTTGTGCTTGTTTGCTGATTGCTGTTCCCGTTGGCCTGTCTCCCAGGAGGCCTGGGCAGCTAGTTCTGTTTGTCCTGCACAGCTGATCCAATCTTTGTCTGAAGCCTGAGAAACTTTGGTCCTAGTGGTTTATAACTGTGATTCCTTTGGAAAGTGTCACTTCAGGAAGAGACATTTCTGGTCCAGTTAGCATCAATTTTGATTAGATATTCATATATTCATATAATCCATGTCAGGGTAGACCTAGCTGGTGGTTGCCTTATTACAAAGATACTACTGGCTTTGAGGGTGGCCCACGAGAATGGGATTATACCACAATTTATAAACATAGTCATGTATTTCATGTCACTATACATGAGAATGTATCTTGCCTATGTTGCTGTTATAAATGACAGAGATAAGACCTTGAGACCATGTTGCTATTCTTGGAAACAAAGATATCTTCTGTTGAAGCAGTTTCCTGTCTTTTCAGGTCAGAAAAAAAAATGTTTAACATGACTTGTTGCAAACTGAAGCTAGGAAAACTGAGGAAAAGTGGTAGCATTCTCTAATTTCAGTCTCGGTGTATACTTTAATCACTGGTTATTATTTTGTGAATCACTTGTAACAAAAATAGAGTTTAGACTGAAGGAGAAATTGCTGCATTAATAGTACTTGACTGGCTATTCATAGAAACTGAGAGCACCAGTTATAAGTTAAAGGCAAGGGTTCACATGATCGGTTTTTGATAGGGTATCAGCATCCCTGTTAGCTTGCTGGGATTCCGTGTGACTCGGGCAACCCTTTCACTTAAAATGCAACCATTCCTCAGCAAAATCACTGGGTTGTAATGTCCTTTATGAGGTGCTTTTAGCTGCATCTTGCTTCTCTACTCATGTGCTCAAAGGGTCAAAAAGAAACATCTTCCAAGCTCTGGTGAACAGTGTGGGCATGTAACCCCTTTTGATACCGAAGGACACTAGCAAAACCACCCTCAGCCCCATGTTGTGATGGTGCTGGCAGCACAGGCTGTTGTAGGTAACTCCCAGGGTTTTGATTGCCCCGGGTGAAATCCGAGCCCAGCAAAAGTCAATGAGGGTTTTGTCTGTGACTGCGCTGCAGCCGGGGCTTCTCCACAGCTGTCACAAACTCCGTCAGCACAGCAATGAAAACAGCACACGGACTCGTACGGTTTGATTTAAAAAGAGGAAATAAGCATACAATGGGCCTTTACTTGAGTTCCCTGTTCTTTCTAAAACTCTTCTTCCTTTACTTCAAATCAGTTATCTAGCTGAATACCCCTTGAGCTAAGAGGTTTTTTAAAAATATGCATTGTATTCTAAAAAGTTGATCTAATCTGCAGTTTTTCCATATGAGCAACTTGATACTGTGCTGAAAATGTCTCAAGTATTTCCAGCTCTTGTGAAGATCGCCCAGAACCTCAATTCTGGGGCCTTACCCTGAGAACACAGTCATGAATGGAGACATCCAGGGAAAACGCAGCCAAATACGGATGGCTGAGAGCGCCCTGCGAGTTCCCGGTTGTGTTGTGCTTCAGTGCACAGAAAGGAGGACAGCAGTGGTCACGCAGCCGGTGCAGTCTGCTTCTGGCTAATGCTACTTCTTAAGCTATTTAGTGTGTCTGATGCTTGGGTGAAATATTTTGCAGAGAAATCTTCAAGTTGATAGAGTGATTGCTAGTGTATTTAGATTAAAGGGGGATTTGAGGAAATGGAGCGATGACCCTTATTGAAATTAAAGCTTTCACTTTAGCGTATACAAGGTTTACCTGCTTGTGGCTTTTTCATGTGAGCTAAAGTTGTAACATGGGCCTTAACATCTAAAAATTCTGTACTTTTGATGACCCTTTTTAAATTAAAGCTTTCACTTCAGCGTATACAAGATTTACCTGCTTGTAGCTTTTTCATGTGAGCTAAAGTTGTAGCACGGGCCTTAACATCTAAAAATTCTGTACTTTGTTTAGGGGAGTGTTAGTGCCTTTAGAAAGAACATTTTCCTTATTACATGTTCCTTTTGCATCCTTTTTAACATCTTTTCTTAAAGGACTTTGTTCTTCTGTTTCACTGTTTTGATTTGGAGAGTATTTTTTTGTCATCTGCAGCAGATTTCTGCCACTACTCTTCTGTGTGTGCTTTGGCTGGGTGGGTGTAGGAGAAAAAGGAGATTGGAGGAAATCATAGTCTACAAGGAACAAGCCCCATTGTTGCAGATGTCTTTCTGGCATGTTTGCAGTGTAATATATTAATTTGATGTCTATCTTGTAACCTGGGTGTTTAAATGGAAAGCCTGATTAGGGTGCGGTTTGAGCTTTCAGTTTGCAAAGAAAGGCAATATTCTCTGTCACTGTGACTGCTGACGAAACGCTTGTGACTAATTAGGGATGGTAGTTTTCCATGTTAAATCACCAAGTGTAGATTAACCAGGTAAGGTTTTATTCCATTAAAAAAAAATCTTACAGAGCAGGAAGACTTTTGCTGCATCAGAAGATTTTCAAGTCTGTTAAAGGAAGTGAATTTGCAGAAGTTGAAGATAGTACAGGGTTTGAGGAAACTGGAGGCTTCCTGTATGGCCTGAAGCAGATCACTTAATGGTGCTGTCTCAGTTCTCTTATTTATAAATTAGGGTGTTGAAGTAATATAGGTAGTTGGATGGTACTAGCTACTATCACTTAGATGTTTTATGTAGAATGAATTTATGAAACATGGGATTTTTCTTTGAGGATAGAGGATTTGCAGAAACAAAAGTATGCTCAGTGCTCGCTGTGATCATTATCACACATGGTTGTCTCAGCAGGGATGTGTATGTCATAACACAAAAAAATGGGGTTCTAAATATACTTAGAAAGCAGTTGAAGTAATACCCATGTTTCAGTGAAATCCTAAGAACGTGATGGCACCTGCATTCACCAGACCGGCACTGCACTTCGTACGACATTTTCCTCGGGTTGACTCTTTGATAGAAGAGGGTTTTAAATCTTCTCTGTTCCTGTAATGGAGCTTTTTAAAGTAGCAAAAATCTGAGAAGAATGCTGTTTACTACCCAGGCTTACTGCTTATTTGCCATGCAATTTAAGTGCTTTGTAGAGTTAAGTTTGCGAAGAGTATAAATTCAGAAATGGGATGAATAGCATAGGCAAGATTAAAATGGCATTTTTTGAGTAGCTAGAAAGTGGCTTAAAAATATGAACTCAAATTAGCTCTGTTATTAGGTATACTTTTGATTTCAGGTTCATCACCCTGCCCAGGAGAGATGTATTTAACAATTGTTAGGTTGAATTAACCTGGCGCATTGTGTGCGTGTCCCCATGTCCCCAAGGTTTATGGTCACTGAGGGCACTAGGTTTCAAGCCGACCAGGTGCTCCCAAATCCAGTCCCTGCAGTCGGTGCTGGGAGCAGGGGAGCACGCACAGGGTGGTGAAGGCTGGAGGCAGGAAGTGCAGCTTGGAGTCAGCCAAGTCATTTTACTCGTCGCTTCAGTGCTTAAAAACTTCCACATATTCCAGACTTATTAGCAAAATGTTTGAAAGTACAGTGTTAAATTGTAGTTTCCCCTTGGACTGTTTTCCTAAATCCTTAATTAAAGGAAAGCCTGGAATTAGGAGTATTTCAAAGCCTTGTAGCAAGGAAGATGCAGTATCTTGGTGTCGTGCACAGACTTTAAAGGAAATGGGAATTCAGAAAAAGAACTAAATTCCCCATGGAGACTTCCTCCCATCCTAGCACCGCAGCAGTTTTCCAGCTGCATATTTTTTATGATATCGCAATGCAGAGAATGAGCTTCTGGAGGATCCCGGGAAGGTGGGCAGAGCTGTGAGCTGCAGGAATATCCCTGGGTGCTGGTGGCAGAGGGCTCTGCAGCGCTGCCGCGTTCGGCTGCGCCGCCTGCTACGGCCTGGCTGCTCCGCGCTCGGCGTCTCCAGGCAGTAGGAGCAGGACAGGCAGATCTGAGTGCTCCGCACGCCTGGAATTAAAAGTGGTACTGACACTGTGTCTCTCCTGTGCTGGGGGAGATTGCCAGAGAGATCAACCCTATCCAGCAGAGCAGGGGTGCCCTACATTCAGCAGTAGGGAGTTCCCGGCTCGCAGGGCTGCAGAGTGGCAGCGGGAGGATCCGGAGCGCTCCCAATGGTGGGCAGCTCTCCCTGCTAAAGGGCAGGTTGCTGTGGTCTGAACCCATCGTGTGAGATGGAATTGCAGGTTTCAGCCTAAGCAAGCTGACTTCTCAGCTGTGTTAGGGCTGGCTTGGCTGGTGGAATCAGGAAGGAGCTAGGAAACATCCCTAGCTTCCAGCTAGGAAATGTCCCTGGCCTGTTTACCCGGGAATCCTGTCTCTGGTGCAGGCAAATACCAGTTGCTTTAGTGGAAGATGCGGGAAACCCAGTAGCAGCCAACTGCAGTGCTTGAGGCACTCCTGACCTCCGCGGTTTGTGCCAGGCTGGTTCTGAAGTTAAAGCTTCTTTTTTAATGTAACAGACTGATACCACATTATGTAAAGTATATGTAGTGGTCGATGATGTGTAGGCTTGAAGATGTATGAATTTGGGACCTATGCAGCTGTGCGAGACCTACAGCTTTCAAGCTCATGTTGTATTAAAATAATACATCCTGGTTGCAAGTAAATACTATAGTGGGAAAGGCCCCTCTCTCTCTTCCTATTAATAGTTCTTGTGTATTATTTATTTTGAAAGGTGTTTTGTAAGGAAAGCAATCTGTTCTGGCAGTCAGCTGGGGACCACGTCTCTGATCTCTTTAGAGCCATGTTACTGACTCGCACAGTGACCTCGGACAAATAGTTTCTCTTCGGGAAAAGTGAGGCATATAGAAGATAGCAGGAATTATAATTCCTAAAACGTATTCCCCTCTTAGAGGAAGAGCATCATATAAGGGCTAAGAGTTGTTATTTAAACTGACTAAAAGATTCTTGCTATGAAAACAGCTGTGCACTGTGCACCTAAGAAGCTCCTCTGCTTTAAAGAACATGATGGGCTGGGAGGTAGCTGACATTTCAGCACCCCCAAGTTTACGGGAGAGGGAGATTTCTGGAGGGGTGCAAAGTAGGGAACCCCTTTCAAACACAACAACAATCTACCTCCACAACAACCAACAACATCAAACACAACAACCATCCACCTTCACAAATGCTGTCTAGGAAGAGGAGATTTTCATGTTGAGACTGAATGAAAATCAGGTTAAATATCAGTTGCTGGAATATGTCAATCAATGTCATCCTAGTAAGCTCCATGCAGAGAGAAATTTTAATTCTGCTCTAGTGTTCAGTCAATAACCAAAGAGATCCTCTTCAGATGAAAGTGCTTAAGATTTCCTAGTATAGGAAACCAATAATTACGTGTTACAGGGAACAATACAAGGTAGAATTGCTAAAGGGATTAATTAGACTTTGTCTAAATAACTGCTATAATTGATGCAAATATACATCTGCAGCCTGCAGAGACATTAGATAGTCATCGTACACCTGCTCAGTTTTGCAGAGCTGTAGAACCAGCTGTCAGAATCATTTCTGTTTTTTCTCTAGAGCTCCTTGAACATAATTGCTTGTCTGTTCTTTTGTTGTTCAAAATGTTTTCTTTTTCTTTTCTTGCTTTTTCTAAACAGCACTTCCACGATGGCCGAAAGGCACAACAGCATATTGAAACTTGCTGGAAACAACTTGAAGCAGTAAGTGGAAACTTCTGAAATGTGACATTTAAGCCATTTTTATACTGTCGTGTTAGACATGGTTCGAAACATGACATTTGAAAAAGAAGGATAAATGAATAAAAGCTCTGAAAACTGAAGAAATGTGGTATTGAGAATCCTGCTCTCTTAAGTACACTGGGAGGCATGATAGAGACTGATTTAATGGTACACTTGGCTTTCTCCAGAATCTGTGTGTATCATGAGTAGCGTTTCATTTGATATGACGTGAAAAGTGTGCTAAGCATTCCTGGAAATGCAGAGTCCCTCGGGTCCTCTTTGGCTATTCCTCTGTAAGCTGAATGGCTTCCTACTGCCTGAGTACCTTGAATAGGACCAGCTCTTGATTATGGTGCTGTTCCTCAAAAGTAAATGAATTTGGGCCTCAGCATTTATTGCGTGACTATGCAAGAAACTAAACGGAGAAGAGGGTGAGGAAAGGAAAGAGTAGTAAGTAGGAGACCCACTCAAACATGTGCATCTTAGTGGCTTGTTCATTTTGTATTCTACAACTGAGGGAATTATGCATATATGCATTGCATAAAAAATATGCAATTGAGGGAATTTTCTGTTGGAAAAGAATAATTTGGTAGACTAGAGTAGACTGGATGTTGGTGTTAATTGGAAAAGCTTTGAAATATCAGTGAAGCTGTATGCAGATTGGAGCAAAAAACTTTATGGCCACTTTGTTTTTCAGTCAACATGGAAATATATGCCAATGTCAACAAGCCAGTCCCAAATCTCCTTGCAATAGTTACAGCAGATCAATGTAAGGGCAGGATTGCTTTTTAGCTTTATGTTTCAAATTGTTTCTCAAAAAGGTTTTCCTCTTTCTTTTCCAGAGTAAAAGGCGGTTTGAACGTGATTGCAAAGAAGCTGATAGAGCACAGCAGTATTTTGAGAAAATGGATGCTGACATCAATGTTACAAAAGCAGATGTTGAAAAGGTAAGCCAGAGGGAGGAGAGCCTATTTGTCAGCATGGATGTGGTTAGATCAATTCCTCAATCCTGCCAGTAGTACTACCCCTATGAGGCTTCATACCTTTAAGTCAGCTCATAGGCTGACAAAAATAGAGGTGTCTCTGCAGGGACCTACATTTGCATAAAAGCTGTAAAGATGCAGTAAAATTACTTAAGTGTAATGGCATCTCTATCTAACATAGCTGATGTGCCTAAAATAAGGTTATGCAAAATCAATTTTAACTAAAAGTCTAGATTCTGTGACAGAAAAGCTTTTGAGGACTCCCCAGAGAAACAGGTGCTTGCAGTTAGCCACATGTTGTGTGACTGGAAGGCAGAACCTGACTTCATGTGTTGTGGAGCAACACTTCAGGTGTCCTCATGTCACTGACTGCAGTGAAATATTGGCAGGACGGCTGTTTTCAGCATGATGGCTCTTCATGTTGAGGAGAATCCTGAAATGTTTGGCTGTCACATGTGACGTGTAGCTTTTATTTTATTTTGCGTTTGCTATCTGGTTTCAGAGCTGGTTGTGGCTTTTCACACATTGATCCCAATGAGCAAAGCTCCTGAGCTTAACTTTAAACATGCATGTAAATGTTGCTGTTGAGTGGTTTCTCACTTGAGTTTGAGTGTTTAAATATCTAATGCAGTGATGTCCTTGTAATTTAGAGAGCAGCAGGAAGGGAGAAGACACTGAAATTGCTTCTGTTCTTGGTCTTACACATCTGCTGTGAAGACACAGTGTGGTATGTGTGATCGAGATTGCAGCAATGTGTAGGGGTAGTTTTGTCTTCCATGCAAGTTTGAGTCATATAAGTAGAAAATAGTCAAACAGGTCAATACATGATATTATATGCAGATTTTGATGTCTGCCCAGAAATAGAGTAGAATTTAGCACCTGTGGAAAATCAGACCAGAAGTGTTCTGTCTTCATTTTACCCTTTGCTCCTCTTTCCTGTCTCCTGTTGTGTAAAGTTCACACAGTAGAGCCAGAGGCACTGCTCTTATATATGAAGATCTCTAGCATTGAAATCTGAGTATGCAAATATACAAAACCTTTTGCTGCATGATCAGGAAGGGAAAATAAAATATACGTGAAGAATGATTTATAGCTCAAAATTTTCCTTGTAACATGTAGATTTTGCTCTTCAAAAGCAAATGAAGCTCCACTTCATTTCACTCTGTTAATTCAATTTTGGCAAACTATTAAGTGCAAATTTTCCGTAGGTCTGTGTGATCTTAAAATCTTTCTAGTATGCTGAGCGTCATGGAAGTTGGGAAGCAGATGGCATCAAGGATGCACATATTAGAAGTAAGGAAGGTAAATGAAAAGCAAACTCAGAAAACTTCCTTGGAAGTGTTACTGAATATCAAAGAAAAAAATATGCCTGTCATCTCATCACTTTTTAATTCTGTATTGCCTTCTGGGTTTGTCAGGGTACTTCTCACATGAATGTGTATAAGGATGTTGAAACTGTAATAAACTGTAATGCCACATGCACCCTTTCTGCCAGGGAAAGATGATCTCTGCTTTGTCTGTGTAAAGTGATTCTCTTAGTTCTACATCTGTTTCTAATGCTGGCTCTTTTGCTTTTTGGCCAGAGTGAAAGCCTACGTAATGGTTATGTATCAAATAATGTTAGGTAAATTCCGGGAGG